TCATTTTCTTGCCTAATTCCTGTGGCTGGAACATGCAGTACAATGTTGATTGAAGTGGTGAGAGTGGACATTCTTGTCTTGTTCCTGATTAGAAAGTAATCTTTAACCATTAAGTATCATGTAAGCTATGGGTTTTTCATAGATGGCCTTACTTATGTTGAAGAAGTCTCCTTCCATTCCTAGTTTAAGTGTTTTTATTATGAAAAGGTTTTGGATTTTGTCAAATGCTTTTTCTGTGTCAGCTGAGATAATTGTGTTGTTTTGTCCTTTATTCCATTAATGTGGTATATTACATTGGTTGATTTCTCTTATGTTAAACCAACTTTGCATTCCTGGGATAACTCCTACTTGGTCATGGGATATGGTCTTTTTATTTGTTGCTGGATTCGGTTCGCTAGCATTTTTTGAGGATTTTTGCATCTATATTCATAAGGGATATTACTGGTCTGTAATTTTCTTGTGTGTTTTTTGTCTTTGTCTCATTTTGGTAACAGTAATACTGGGTGTCACTGGGAATCAGGGTGACACCAACCTCACAGAATGAGTTGGGAAGTGATCCCTTCTTTCCTGTTTTTTGGAAGAGTTTGTGTAAGATTAGTGTTAATTCTTTAAATGCTGATAACTTTCATCAGTAAGGACCCATGTTTTTTTTTGGAGAGGGTGAGGTTTTTATTTTTTTTTATTATTAATTCAATCTCTTTTCCTGAATATCTAGCAAGTCTAGCTAGATACTCTATTTCTCAGAAAATTTTTGAAAATAGGTAGCTGAAAAGTCAATTTGTCAAATAAAATGAAGAGTTGTTTTTCCCCCTGGAAGTTACTGCTGTGACAGTGTTGAATTTCCAGTGTGGTTTTGAGGGGTCAAGTCCAGGGAATGCGATCCCTCCCTGCTCTTCCGGGCCTGCTTCTGAATGCACTTGGGGTTTCTCCAGTAGAGACCCACCCCTTCAGCTGGTCTGTGGTCTGGCCTGTGGACAGGCAGAGGAGGTCAAGGGAAAACCCGCAGGTTGTACAGTCAGAATAACAAGTTCAAAGACTGTTCAGGCATCTACCTCGAGGCACATGACCTCGGTCAAGTTCTTCGGCCTCTCTAAGCCAATTTTCTCACCTGTAACAGAGGTAGTATGGTAATGGGCCCTGCCTCACAGGGTTGGGAGACAGGCTTGGATATGAATATGGGCCTTGCTAAGCCTCCTTTCTGTCCCCCTGTCCCCACTCCCTTCTTGCCCTCCCAAGTTTTCGGTGAAGAAGGAGGAGAGCAGACTTTCAGTGTAGGAGGAGGTAAGTGAGGAGGCTGGTTTCAGAACCTTCAGCAAACAAAGCCTCAGTGTTCCAAGGGGAGCGCCCCTGTGCCTCCTCCTTACTGGGGGTGGGGGTAGGAGCGGTGGGGTGGGGCTGAAGCATTTTCCCAGCCCCTGCTCAATCACTTCTCCCGCCCATGGGACCTGCTCCTTGGAATGGAAGAAATGAGCCATGGGGAAAGTGAGGGCATTTCAGGAGAGCCAGACCTATGTTTTCGAGAGTATTTGCATTACAAAGCTTCTTGCAAAACCTGGGAGGGCTTCCTATTAACCTTTAGGAGCCCTGTGCATATCCCAAGCTCTAATCTTTACCCCCCCATATACACCCAGTGTGCCCCTCCCTTAGGTAATGGAAGGATGGATGAGATAGGGTGTTTATTCAGCAACTCCCTTCTTTCATTGCTTGAGGGGTGTCCTTGGAGGATGCTCCTGTAAAGAGCTGAACAAGCCCCAGGGGCATAAGAGATAGAAAAAAACAGGAGCCAGAGCTGGCTGAGTAAGGAAGCAGGCACTCGCCAGAATGGCCCACTGGCTGCAGGGAACTTGGCAGCGAGGGAATATTGGATGAGACATCCACAGCGCCTGAGTAAGGATGCTCGTTCTTAGAGAGCCCGAGGTTGCGGTGATGTGGAAACACACAGCAGGTGGGCAGGAGACAGACCTGGAGTCCACCCAGCCTCATGGTGGGCAGGCCTGAGTGTGAGCGTGGACAGGGGTCAAAGGAGGGAGATGAGTGGACAGCTCAGCAACTGAGCTGAGATGCTGCCCATGTCTAGGGCGCAGGGATGGAGGCACAGTCAGTCAGCAGGGCAGAGCCCCAGCTGCAACACAAAAAGGAACTGCAGAGACGAGGAATGCAGAAGAAAGCCCGCACAGCTCCCCGGAGACCTCGGAGGCTGAGCGGACTCGGTAAAGCCAGGAGGACAGAAGCGGGGAGATGACGGCAGGGGTGCTGGGCCCTGGGGGTATTACTCTGGCCCAGTCGTTGCACCTGTGAGACAGCAGTGACGTTACGTTCCATGTTTTAGGGTTAATGTGGGCAGTACCTGATTGAAGGCTGGGCACAGAGCCCAATAATTAGTAAGAGCTCAATGAAATTTTTTCAGTTATAATCGAAAATTGAGCATGTGTAAGAAGAAGACGAGAATCGTATTATGTGAAGAAGGTGGAGATCTGGGCTCTGAGGAGCCCTCACCCGATCGCATGTGGGACCTCTCACACTTGGGATGTGCCAGAAATCTGATGGCCTGGCTGACACTTTCTGAAACTTCTTGGTGGTTCTGGAGCACTCATTTTCATTAATTGATGGCGTTATTTTTGCTGACATTGGTCTGTGTTTGCCTGTCTCTTAGTTACTTTATTTTATTAAAAAATATTTTTTAATCCTCACCCAAGGACATTTTTTTCATTGCCTTCAGAGATAGACAAAGGGAGAGAGGAAGAGAGAGGAAGAAATTGATGTGAGGGAGAAGCACCGATTGTTGTGTCTCATATGTGCCTGGACCGGGCACTGCACACACCAGACTGGGGAACGGACCCACAACCTAAGCACGTGCTCTGACCGAGAATCGAATCTGCGACCTCTCAGCTCTGCGATAACTCGCCCATCAGCTGAGCCACCTGGCCAGGGCTGTCTCTTAGTTATCTTAGTGTCTGCACCAAGCATAGGAAACCTAGACAGCTGGGTTTAATAATTAGAGCCCGTAGATATTCCTTGTCACTTCAGGAACACGCCCTTCCCTCTGCAAACTTCTCTTGGATATTTTTGAACATAAGCACCAAGCTCATCTGCATATTCCCACCAGTCACTGTGCATATCCTGTGATCTGAGAGATTCATATCCCCCATGGGGCATCGGGTGGGTTTTGGACTCCCTTGCCTTTCCTCCATGTCACACTGTTTTGGCATGTTATCCGGTAGTTCCCTCTCATTCACACTGTCTCCCTGATTTCAGTTACCTGTGGTCAACCACGGTCTGAAAATATTAAATGGAAAATTCCAGAAATAAACAATGCATCACTCTTCAGTTGCTGGCCGCTGTAAGTGGTGTGATAAAATCTCACTCCTTCCCGCTCTGTCCCTCCGAGGACGTGACTCATTCCTTTTGTCCACTGTCTCCACATTGCAGGCGCTCTCTGCTCCTTAGTCACTCAGCCGCCGTCCAGGTGACCGATCGACTGTCTGGGGCTGGCAGTGCTCACGTTCAAGTTGCCCTTGTTTCATTCAGTGATGCCCCAAAGCCATTCACATAACTTTTATCGCAGTATGTTGTTATAATTGTTTATTTTTATTATTAGTTGCTGTTGTTCATCACTCACCGTGCCTAATTTATAAATTAACTTTAGCATAGGTATGCATGGATAGGAAAAAACTCAGTATATATAGGATTCTGTACTGTCTGTGGTTTTGGGCATCCACTGGGGGTCTTGGATGTCTCCCCCATGGGTAAGGGTGCACTAATTTATCTCCCTAGAACTTCTAGATTTGGGAAAGTTCTCTGAAATATATTGCTAACAGGAAGAATGTTGCAGAACAAGACACTGCCCAAGAGGTTTTTATTTGATTATGAGTAGGATTATGTATGTGCCTAAGCTCACTTGCAAAAATAAAATGAAAAAAAAATGTGCTTCAGAAGATGCAGGCTCTGATGCTCCGGGGAGGGTAGCCCGAGACTGCATTTTGAAACAAGCTCCAGGTGCCGCTGGGGCCACGGCTCTGTCCAGTGGAACTTTCTGCACTGACGGGATGTCCTGTATCTGTGCTATGCGAACATCAGCCACTAGACCCCCGTCGCTACTGAGCACTGACAATGGGACTAGTGCAACTGAAGAATTTAATTTTAAAGTTTATTTGCTTTTAATTCAATTGAAATAGCCACACGCGGACTCCTGGCCACTGTATGAGACAGTGTGGTTCTCAACAGCAAACTTTTCAAGGGCTGGGACTGAGTCTTATTTATCTGTGTATCCTCTTCAGGATAACAACAATAATACTTACAATGATAACAATTCCTTATGTTACACGTATATTGTCATTTAGGGACTCCTTTCGTGGCCAGTATGTTAGCGAGGCCTCCGGGTGCAGCCAATGTTTATCGAGTGCTTGCTCTGTGCCAGACACTGCCCCACCTGTTTCCCAGGTATTAACTCACTTGTGCGCTATGAATTCCCTGTTCCATAGATGAAGACACTGAGACACAGACGTGCCAGTTCCCTGCATAAGTCACTCCACTAGAAAATAACAGAGCCAGGCTTTGAGTCCAGGATGTAGTCTGGCTCACATGATGCTTTAAGCTGATGCTTTCATGCCTCAGATTGTACCTACCATTACCTAGGTTTTCCCATTTTAACCTAGCTGGGCTTGTCTGACTCCCGGACTAGAAGTTTTGTCATCCTGGAAGACATTTAGGGTCCTGGTGCCACCCACCTTATGCACAAAGACCAGCCTAGACCTAACAGAGCTGACAGTGAGGCCGGAATCTCAGCCTTATCTACGAAGGGAGGGGTCAAGGGAGGACAGCTGTTGCGTGTGGACCCTAACCATTCCTACAGCTGCTCAGCATTTGTTGTGCTTAGGAAGACAGAACTACATCTCCCAGGAAGCAGTTCGGCCTCTCCCTACCCGTCCCTGGCTCCGCCTCCGGACCGGCTGATATTTAAGAGCCGATGGCCGGGCCCCGCGCAGAGCGCGGAGGCGGCTTGGACGCAGGGGTTCTCAGTGGAAGCAGCAGGACACGGCCACCACAGCTGGCGGACCCCGCTCCTCACTCCGGCATCTCTTCACGCCTCCTGTGCCTCGGCGGGCGCCCAACCTACGCTCCCTGCGTCCCTAGACCTGCTAACCCCAGGCGGACAGAGGATTTACCTTTGGCTCTTTTCTGCGCTTGGCAGAGGGGTTCCGGCGGGAATTGGGGCTCCCGCTGGATTTGCGCAGCCGAGGGAGGCTAAAAGCTGCGTCCGGGATGGTGGCTCTTTCAGAGCGAGGAGGCGGGATACCCTCACCGGGGTCCTCGGAGCGTCCCGAACCCGCGCGAATCGTGCGCTTGACCCGTGCGGGCCCGGGGAGGTGGCCTTTGGGAACCCCAGCCGATAAACTCCCGTGATCTCCGCGGGTTCGGAGCACCGAGGCCGACCGCCAGCTCTTGGACCCTGTATGGAAAGTGGGTAATGCGGTCGGGTGTCCGGACCCCAAACTTGGATTACTTGGTGCATATCAGCCGGGCTCAGAAGACTCACGATCTCTCTACCCGTGGATTGATTCATTCTATCTAGCAGTCGGGTCGCCTACCTGGAGGTAAGTTGTCCCGCAATTCAGCGGAGCGGTTTGATTTGATTCCCTACCTCCAACACCCCGCGTCGCTTTCTAAAGGTCTCGAGGTTCTATGTTGAAATTTTTTTCCTTGTAATTGACATGTCGGAGGACATTTTAGCCATCCCTCTGTCTCCAGACTGCCGCTCGTCCGGGTCACGGCGGTCAGCGCCCTGCTGCGCCCAGCGCCACCCAGCCGCTGGCGGCCTCGCGGGACCGAGCCCAGTCTGGAGAAATGCTCCGCGTCTGCGGCACGCTGCGCAGTCCTTGAACTTACCTTTTCGCCTCGTCACCCTCCGGGCCCGTTACTTAGGGAGCAGCGTAGCTGCTTCGGTAACCTCCTGGCGTCTGGTCACTGGCGACTCAGAATGGGACCGGGTTGCTGTGCTTGGGGAAGGCAGCAGGGCCGAACTCATCTCACCCCTGGGCATGGAAGACAGATGTGTTTCTGGATGTCCCTGGTAGGCTTTACTGCAAGGACTGGGTCACCCGTCGGGGTGACACTGGGATGGTGTGGACAGGTCTCTGAGTAGATGGAAGGTGGTGGGAATTTGGTTCACTGCGTCACCCGCCCCCCCCCCCCCCGTCGTCCTCCTCCTCCCCACCCTCGGCCAACCTGCTAATGGGAGAGGTTTCCTGGCCAACAGCCCCTGTACCCATGGACCCTGCTTTCCTCATCCTTTGGTGTCCGCGCTGTTTCGGGCGGCGTGGTGACTGTCACTGAGGAGGCGCGGAATAGATAGATGTTGCTCGAATAAATGACTGAGCCCGTAGCCGTGATGTAGGGATAAACCAGGGTCCTCCTTTCCCTTCTCCCTCTCTGGTGCTTGTTCTCAGCACCCGCAGGTGGTTTCCTGGAGATTCGTTCCCAGATGTGAGATTCTCTCTCCTTCCCCCCAGCCCTGCCCCTCCCTGATCCATTTCCTGGCCCAGAGCCCCTCCTGCATAAAAGTTCTAGAAGCTGTCAGGGGGTCTCCCTGATGTTGTTTGCTCAGGGTGCTACCGCCCAATGAGAACCTGCCTGGGGGAGAAGGAGGGCCAGGCAGCACAGGAAGAAAAAAGGCGATGTGTGTTCCCTCCCCCAGGAGCTGCGCCTCCGCCACGCCAGGTCTCTCTAACTGCCCGGCTGGTGTAGCAACCATCCTTGTGGCCTCCCCACCATCCACGCCCCCCCCCCCCAGACCCTGGAAGGGGGATGGTTGAAACTGTCCTACTGATGACCTGCTGCTCCTCTTGTGCTCTCTGTTTGACTTTAAAAGCAATTCGCACTTTCTCTCTTTCATAGAATACTACAAAAAGGTGCAAAGGCAGGAAAAACCACCCAGTTCCCACGGTAGTGCAGTCAGTTGGATGTAGTCTTCCCTGCTGAAGCCCTGCAGTCCATACAGTGTCGTTTCCTGCTTCCCCCCACGATTTCATTTGGACGGTTCCCCGTGTGATGACTGGATTCCGCCCTGGGCATTGAATCATACTGGGCTTGACAATTCCCCATTGTTGGACACTAAGGTGTTCCCAAATTTTTACCCTTGGCGCACGGGTGAGCATCTTTTGTGCCTGAGGATTTGTCCACACTTGGGATTGTTCCCTTTGGAAAATGTCTAGAAATCACTGTCTTTGCTTTAAGTCACAGTCATGTCCAAAGTCAAAGGAATGTTGCTGTTGGTGGACATTTCCCAGGTGGACTGTCTGGAAGGGAGCATTGTGTACCCATCAGGTAACCCACATCTGGGAGCCAGAATACTGCGGCCTTTCTGTTTTGTCTCGTTTTTCCTGCGGCGAAGAGCCGATCAGCACTGGTAAAGGCTGCCTTTGGGGCCACGGTGCAAATTATGTTGGTGACACTGTAGGTTACAATAGAGCAGGCAGCCGGATGAAAAATATTGTCACTTTATAAAAAATTAACTTTTGACTTTGATATAAATCTGATTTGACAGGAACGTTGCATGAGTAGGCATGGATTCCCCTGCACCCGGCTTCCTTAGATGTTAGCACACTGCGTGCCCACAGCCCCGAGCCCAGCCCCGGGGGTCAACACTGCTGATGAGGCAATCTCGGGGGTCCCACCCATATTCGTGTTTTGTGGTTCGGGATCCTGCATTTTGGAAAATGCTGTCTTGTATAAAGGGAGGAGTTGGGAGGGCTCAGCAGACCGTCTTTTTTTTTAACCTTTTCATTGAAACATGACTGACAGAGAAAGCTGCGCACATTTAGTGCAGACAACTTGAGATTGATGATAGGTACACCTGTGAAACCCCGCAGTCTGTGCCATAAACATACTCACTCCTCCAAAAGTTTCCTCCCGCCCACTTTATTATTATTTGTGTGTGTGTGATAAGAACACTTAATAAGAGATCTACCCTTTTAGTAAATGTTTAAGTATACAGTACAGTATTGTTAACTGTAGGTGGTGAGCTGCACAGGAGAGTCTAGGATTTATTCTGGAGAAAGTTTGCAATGGAGAAGTCCCCCTCCTTCCTCTTCCCCAGGTAAACTCACCCCCTTCCTATTTATGGCCAGCAGAGCAGATGAGGCAGACCCTCCAATGCGCCCAGAGGGGAGGGGAGGGGAGCGGAGCCCCGACCATAAGGGGAATAAGCTTTTCTGCGTACACCCCTCCTTCCTTCTCACCAAACCTCCACTGGGAATGAGTCGTTTAGTAAAACTGGGCTGTACCCTGATCTGTCCTGACATGTCTTCTGTGGGGTGGGGGGGGATGACATCTGGTGTGCGTGAGAGCAGCGAGCCGCCAAGCCCCGGATCCGCCGGTGACAAGTCCAGCGTGCCATGCCTGTGCGGGTGACTCACGCTGCTGCTGCCGCCGAGCAGCAGGTGTGTCGGGAGCTCGGTGTACAAACCCAGCCAAGAGCATTTCCTGGTTATCCGGGCAGATTTAAAGGTGTCTGCTCTCACCTCGGAATGGATTTAGGCTACTGTCCAGCAGTCTTGGGCCCGGAAGGGATCCCCCTCCTCTTTTGGGAACTCACTTCACCAGAGAGGGGTGAGGAGAGCCAGCCTAGGGGGTTCTGGGAAGCTCCTGATGGGGATGGAGTCTGGCCTGGTGTCTTTGCATGAGAGGCTTGTGGGAAATCAGGGAGACCCAGGAAGGAGCCCCTTTCCTGCCCGGCCCCCAACCCTGCACCAGAGACCTCATTAGTCCAACCTTCCCCACAATGCCCCTGTGGATGGGGGGGGCTGTCTGCTGTCAGTACCTGTCTGCGCCAGCTCCGAGTGGTTGCCTGCACAGTGCAACCGGTGTTTGTTTGGGGTAAGGAAGTTGTGAGGTGACTTAAATCTCAACATAACAGACTTCTGCTATCCGTGTAGACTTTCTCTGTTACTGTTAGGGTACAGTTGCCGAAGCTTGATTTTTCTTTTTCTCTTTGAAACACTCCCAGTCTTCCTATTGTAGCTTGGAAACTGAAGTACAGTCCCTGTCTCCCTGGGACCCTGTCCCCTGTCCCCACCCCCACACTGGCACAGACGGTCTCTGTCACCAGCCAGCTCCGGTGAGGATCATAACAGGAAGTCTCGGTGGGAGAGGGGTTGGGGATGTTGTGACTGGAGCGTTCTGGAACCGCCCTCTGTCTACACCTGCCTTGTCCCTCTGTGGGGCTGTGTCTTCTCAGAAGCTGCTGCTCTGCCCAGAGCAGCAGGAGCCCAGTTCAGGTGCTCCACCTGGTTCCCCTGGCCTTCAGGTTGTTGCTTGCCTAAGAATGCATTGGTTGGAGAACTTGGTAAAAACTGGGATTCTTAGAAGCCATCCCCACCCTCCACCCCCCCTAATTTTTGAGGTTCTGTTTTGTTGTGTGTCGGGGTGGGGAGGGCTCAGAGATCTACATTTTTAACAAGCCACCAAAGCCACTCCAGTGCAGATGGACACTTTAAGAAATGAGGAATTGTCTGGGTTCTTGGCCAGCTAAAGCCCAAATGGAATCTTTTCCTGCTGAAGCTTGCCCTGCTACGAAGCTCTTTTTCTCCTCTTTCAGGAAGCCTTCCTGGCTTGCCTCCACCTGATCTGTGTCCCCACACGCACTTATTTAGTTTGCTGGTGAAGGGTTTGAGGTAGAAGTCTTGAAATCAGGTGCCCTTGGTACTTGGTAAAGACAGAAATGGCTGCATTTCTGGGCTTGAGGAATAAATTGTATCTGCAATCTCTCCCCTTGGGGAGGGGGTTGTGAGTTCCCCAGGAGCTTGGAAAGTGTCCTTTAATGGTAACTTCCTGGTATGTATTTTCGTGTGCCCGTGGAGACCACTGCTGGCTCACGTCAGTCGTTGCAGGCCATGTCCACTGTCACCACGGGGCTGGTTTGGGTCCTCCACACCAGGTTTGCACCCCCTTCTTCACATGGCAGAGGCACCCAGCTCACCACACATGAGGATAGTCCTGGAGGAATTAACTTCCTCCCTTGAACTGTGCCATTGGCTAAAGATGCTCTGTCCAAAAGCACCTGGCTTCCCTTGCTTTCAGGGCACTAGCTCTGTGCCCTGAAAATTGTCTGTACCAAACCAGTCTTGGTCCTGTGCTACTCGCAGGCTTGGAGGAAGCATGCAACCCAGAGGACGCTGAAGGGGCGAGTTTCTGTCAAAGGGTTCTTTTCGGGATGGTCCTCCCGAGCTGGTCTGTCGGTACAGGTTTTTACACACACGTCTGAAACCAGGTGCCTTTTGTCCTCGGCTAAGACGGAAGTGGCTGCATTTGGGTGAATGATAAGGGGACAGCGGTTCTGGGTCTCCAGGAATAATCAGACCTTTGGTCTCTCCCCTTGGGGCCGTGAGGCTGGTGGAGGTTTGGAAAGGCCCCTAATAGGACCTGATTTTAATGGTTTCAGACCCCAGTCCTTTGCCTGGAACATGAGCCCTTGACCTCACGTGACTGTAGTGCTTTTCCTTCCCTCCCCCTGCTTTTCACTGGACTGCGAAGAGCATCCCTGCCTGCCCAGCAGTGCCGCGTTGTGCCGTCAGGTGGTCATTAGGGGTCTCAGCCC